CCGCCTTTCCTCGGCCAGGCCAGGCAGGGCCGGCTGGCCCGGTTTGCCGACCGGTGCCATGAGGAGCATGCTGCTGCCCTGGCACAGTGACTCCCTCGGTTCCCTTGAGTAGGGCCCAGGCATCTTTTGCCCGGCCTTGGCTCCCGACCCACCCCCTCCCCCCGCAGGTAAGAGCAGCGTCAGCGTCAGCAAGCAACGGTCAGCGGCAGCCCCACCACCCCCACCTCCGCCTCACACACTCACTGGCCCCTTGCGCGATGGCACGCCGGCATGTTGGCATGGGAACGCCAAGCCCGGCACGGTAGCGGCGGCTGACTGAGTAATGGCACAGCCGACCGCCGCGGCAGGCCACTTTGCACTCCTGCCTGCAATGCATGCACCCTTACATGTGCAGCCTTCTGGTATTTTCATGTGCCTGGGAGATGTGCGGGCATGGGGGCCCATGTGCCCCATGCCATTTGAGTGCCCGGCGGCGGCGCTGCCTGCCGCCGGGAGCCCGCACCAGCATCGGCACCCGTCGGCCTGGCAGGCCTAAGCTGCTAAGGATCCCCACGTCCCCCACCACGTTGTGGGGGTTGCGTGTCCGGCAGGACGGGGAGCGGGGCCAGGGTGGGGTGACCCTGGGACGCTCAGCTGGGGGGAGGGTGGTCGGAGCCATGGAGAGGGTGCTCCATGGTCCACCCCCTCTCTTGATGCCCCTTGATCACGTGTGCCCCCTGCCCAAGGTCTGCTCACGCGGCCTATCATAGCGGGGTGACTGTAACACAGGGTTATGAGGCCCTGCGCCCAGATCCAGGCGCTGGGGAAGCTCCTGCCCCAGTTCTTCTCAAAGTGTGCCACCGCCGCGCCGTGCACCACGGGCACGCCCGGCTGGCAGAGCGAGAAGCGCATGGGCGTGGCCAGGGAGTGCACAAACCAGTGCAGGCCGGTGAGGGCTGCAGGCACGGCTGCGGCAAAGCCTGCAGTGGAAGCAGGGGTGGGCGGGGAGCCATCAGTGTGGCTCGGCCGGATGCGCAGCCTACATGCACGCATCGCCCCTCGCAATGCTGCATCGCCCCGACCCTGCCACGCTTCCCGCTGAGTTGCTGGCTGCACCGCTGGCACTCTGCCGCGCACCCTCTGGGCCCAGGCCGCTGGCGCTCCACGGCTGCGGCGGGCCGGTGCAGCGCGCGATGAGGCAGGCGCCGTGGAAGCGCGCGTGCAGCTGGCAGTGCTCCCTCGACATGCTCAGCAGCAGGCTGCCGTCGGCGGCCTCCAGCTGGAAGTGCGGCGGCGAGGAGATGGCAGGGTCGGCTGTGACCGGGTGGCCGCCGCCGGTTGTGATGGTCAGGCGCAGGCTGGTGCGGCTGTACACCGCCGGGCGCGGGTCGGCCAGGCTGCGGGGCCGGGGAGGGCAGGGGAGGGACGGGTGGCAGGGCAGCTGTCGGGAGGCAGGCGCCGTGCCCCCGGCTGGGCAGTGACAAGCGCCAGATCGTTCCACGCATGGCTGCGCCCGGCCTCGGCCAGCTGCCCTCAGCCCGCACCTGCTGTTCTGAACCACCAGGCTGGCCATGTAGCTGGCATTCCCCGGCGGCACGTTGGGCAAGTCGCACTGGATGGCTGAGGAGACAGGCCGGTGGCAGCGGCTGGACCGCACCCAGCGCCCATGCCCCCACTGCCAGGCCCCTCTAGAGGACGTACGCCACGCAGTGTATGACTGCCCCCTATACGCTGGGCTGAGGGAGGAGTATGCTGAGCTCTTCCACAGTCCCGGCCACGCCTTGCCCTCCCTGGCCGCCTTCCTCGGCCAGGCCAGGCAGGGCCGGCTGGCCCGGTTTGCCGACCGGTGCCATGAGGAGCATGCTGCTGCCCTGGCACAGTGACTCCCTCGGTTCCCTTGAGTAGGGCCCAGGCATCTTTTGCCCGGCCTTGGCTCCCGACCCACCCCCTCCCCCCGCAGGTAAGAGCAGCGTCAGCGTCAGCAAGCAACGGTCAGCGGCAGCCCCACCACCCCCACCTCCGCCTCACACACTCACTGGCCCCTTGCGCGATGGCACGCCGGCATGTTGGCATGGGAACGCCAAGCCCGGCACGGTAGCGGCGGCTGACTGAGTAATGGCACAGCCGACCGCCGCGGCAGGCCACTTTGCACTCCTGCCTGCAATGCATGCACCCTTACATGTGCAGCCTTCTGGTATTTTCATGTGCCTGGGAGATGTGCGGGCATGGGGGCCCATGTGCCCCATGCCATTTGAGTGCCCGGCGGCGGCGCTGCCTGCCGCCGGGAGCCCGCACCAGCATCGGCACCCGTCGGCCTGGCAGGCCTAAGCTGCTAAGGATCCCCACGTCCCCCACCACGTTGTGGGGGTTGCGTGTCCGGCAGGACGGGGAGCGGGGCCAGGGTGGGGTGACCCTGGGACGCTCAGCTGGGGGGAGGGTGGTCGGAGCCATGGAGAGGGTGCTCCATGGTCCACCCCCTCTCTTGATGCCCCTTGATCACGTGTGCCCCCTGCCCAAGGTCTGCTCACGCGGCCTATCATAGCGGGGTGACTGTAACACAGGGCATGGCAGCCACGACGAGCGCCAGCGAGGCCAGGGGCGGCGGCATGTCGGGCGCTGCGGCGTCCCTGGGGTGGGCCGCCAATGGTGTCAGGCGGATGTACCAGCCCTCAAAGCTGCTGGGGGTCGAGCCTGGGGGGTGAGGGTCATACTGGCTGGCCCGAGAGGCGGGCAGGCAGCAGAAGAGGACCGCTAGGAGGGCCAGGCGCAGGCAGCCGGGCCTGGGCATGGCTGGGAGGTTCGCTCCTGGAGCTCCTGGAGCGTCGCTCAGCCCACTGGGCAGAGGGGTGCCACCCAGTGGGGCTCGTCCAAGGTCTTTCACATGCAGCTGACCCACACTTCCAACTTGGTTGAAACACAGATCCAGGTTTGCCTGCACTGGCATTGCACGATGAAGCCGAACAGCAGGAGAACCCAAAGAGGCCTGGGAGCTCGTTCCTGCAACTCCCAGCTAGCTGCCGCCGCCAAAGGCCGCCAGCGGGGATCCCATGCGACGATGCCTTCGGAAACAGCCCCCCTCCCGCTGCTATTTGTTACCTCTTGCTTCCTGTTTCATACACGCAAACTCACGGTCCCCGCAGATGGCCTGCCCCCGGCGCTGCTCCCCCACCGCGCGGCTTCTGTTGGTGCTCGCGTTTGTAGTGACTCAGGCGAAGTGTGCAGAAGGTGGGTGTGCCGTTGCAAGCCTCCGGTTTTGCCGCTCCCTCCTCACCCCGCGGCCTCTCTCCCTCTCCCTGCAGGAGCCCAGGTGAAGCTCAGGGGCGCAGCAGGCGCTGGGTTAGCATGCCGGGGCGGCCCGGAACTCGCATTGCCCGCCTGTCCCTGCCGCCACCGCCGCCCCGTCCCGCCGCGGCCTCATCAAGTGCGGCACCTGACGCTTTGCCCCTGCACCTGCCACGACCTTCCCTGCTGCCTCGCCGTGCGCCGCCCTGCTGTGCAGTGTGGGCAAGGGTACGGGCCCGACCCATCTGGCAAGTGCGTCCGCTGCCAGGACAGAAACTGCCTGTGGTGCAACCAGGCATCCTACACACGATGCAACCAGTGTGGCTTTGGGTATTATCTGATCCTCCAGACAGCAACGTGCACCGTGTGTCGGAACGGCTGTGCCAATTGTGAGGTGTGCCCCACCTGTCCCGGCGGAGTCAAGTGCCTGCGCCGCTGCGCCATCGCAAACTGTGACATCTGCCCCAACACGCCCAACAAGTGCGCCTCGTGCGGTAAGTTGCAAACGGGACAGGGGTGGCGGGTCAGCAGGAGTGCGGCGCAGAATTTAATTCGGCCTTGAGCCCAGCATGGGAAAGGCAACCCATGTGCTGCCACCAACCGTGTGCTTCCATTGCCCTGTGCCGCCCTGCAGACACGGGTTACTACTTCAAGAACGGGCCCTGCATCCCGTGCGAGCTGCTGAAATGCGCCGACTGTGAGGCGTGTGCGGGCGGGACAGGCTGCAAGGACGGCAGGAAGTGCATCAGGGCGTGCAAGGACAGGTGCGCCAGCGCGGCAGGACTCGCGGCAGCTGCTTTCATGTGTGCGTCTTCGATGGGGAGGATGATGGGGAGGTATTCCTTGGTGGTGGCGTGTGTGGTGGCATGACTAGAGAGATCATGCACCATGCTTGGGCACACAGGACCACACAGCGCTGCTGTCCCTTCTCTGACAACACGTGCAGGAACTGCGACGCCTGCGGGCCGCAAGGCCTGTGCAATCAGTGCGGCTACGGGTTCTGGCTCGACCTGGTTACTCGCAAGTGCAGCCCTTGCGGCGACGTGATGCCCGGCTGCGTCAGCTGTTTGGCATGCACGACTGGAAACCCGGCTCAGTGCCAGGTGGGTGGACGGTGGAAGGAGTGGTGGTGGGTGGGGAGTTGGTGCTGGCTGCTCATCGCTGAGCCGCTGTACAGGCTCATGCGCCACCCTCGGTGCCTCCTCCTCTCCTCTCTCGCCCTGCAGAACAACAAGTATTACTGCAGGAAGTGCAAGTCCGGCTACAGGCTAAGGAACGGCACGTGCCGCAGGAACAACATCTGACTGCATCTCTTAACAGACCTGCCCCGCCGCGTCGTGCACCTGTCAGCTGTGGCCTTACCGCAAGACTTTTTGTTTTTCTGCCTGCATCGACCTGCCCCCTTTTGTGTGACCCAGCGCCCATTCAGTCTGATATTCAATTGCAGAGGATGCCGCTTGCGCCAACACTATCCTACTAGGAGATTCCCTTTACAAATGTTTCTTTGTTTTGCCCTCTGCCATGATCAAGCCATGCAATACCCTGTGAAAGGTCAAGGTACACTTGGCAGCACGCCCCGCTGAGCAGCTGCTGCAATGGCAGCCTGCTGCTTCACTCCCGCACGTCCAGCGCCGCCAGGGAGACCGCCAGCTCCGCCAGCGCTTCCGGGCCGCTGGCTGTGGCCACGCTGCGGTCCAGCGCGGACCACCAGCACAGCGGCACCCACCAACAGCTGTGCTGCGCCCCCGCCAGCGCCCCCGCCATGCTAGCCAGGGTATCGGTGTCGCCACCTGCAGCTTGGTGGGGCAGGCGCGGCGTCGTCAGCCACCTGCTGCGCTCCCGCAACCTGCCAGCTGGCTTGCCCTGCCAGGCCGCATGCCCAGGTCTCACCCTGGTGCATCGCGCCGACAATGGCTGCCGGAGGGTGGCCCCAGTGGCGGCAGAAGGCCCACAGCACGCTGGCCGTCGCATCCACCGCCCGGATCTGCCAGTACCCGCCATTCCGCATCTTCTCGCTAACCACCTGCAGGCCATGGCGGGTTAACACACCACACCAGGGGTCCCGCTGTGGGAGTCCCCGGCCTCGTCTGTGGCGCCGCAGCAGCAGCGTCACGGTGCCCGGGCAGCGAAGCAGCACGGACGGGAGCAGCAGCAGCAGGCAGGGGAGCAGCATCGGCGGCAGGCAGGGAGCTTGCCTGGTCCAGCAGCTGCTGATCCTCCCGCCACTGTGGGTCACCTTCCAAGCCCTCCCACACCCTGCCCCGCTCGCTCCCCGTGTCCAACCCCGCCGGCAGCCTCGCCAGCGCCCGCTCAATCGCTTCCAGGCGCTGCCGCATGGCCGCCGTGGCCGCCAGCGGCAGCAGGCGTGCTATGAGCGCGAGCGGCGACTCCAGCACAGGCTCGGTGACACCTGCACGGCGGCAAACACGCAGGCAGGCAGGTGGATGGGCAGCAGTAACAGGTAGGGCAGGAACTGAGAGGGTCTGCTGCCGGCAGCAGCCGCAGCAGAAGCCGCGGACAGGCTGCAGTACCACCACCAAGCAGAAGCAGCAGCGACTCACCAGGCTTGGCCAGCAGGCCCACCGCTGCCGCCTGCACTATGGCCGCATCCGCCGCCTCTGGGTGCACGTGGGTGCACATCACGGCATCCGCCACAGCCCAGCGCAGCACATCTGCCGGCGCGTTCCTGCAGGGAGGCAGCCAGGCAGGCAGCCAGCAAGGCGCACCGCTCTGCTTGGTGGGCATGCCAGCTTCTGGTGCAGACCGGGGGTCACAGCTCAACAGGGCCTGGATTGGGTTCTCAACAAAATAAACAAAGCGCCGCACCTGTAGGCCAGGCCCACCGGGGCGATCCGCATGACCGAGCCGTTGCCCCAGGAGCCATCCGGCCGTGCCAGCCGCCCAGAGGTGCGGCAGTCGGCTGTGCCGCGCTCCAGAGCGTTAAATGCGCTGCAGCAGCAGCAGCAGCAGCAGCAGCCGTGTTTCAGCTGCGGGTGTGGCTCAAGTAACTGCAAGGCAGCCGCAAGGGAGGCGCACGGCGCCCCTGCTTTGCAGATGGCGCAGCCAGGTCATGAAAAGAGTGGCTGTGAGATGAGGCGGAGGGTTGCGCCTGGAGTCACACTCACTTCTTGGCGTCCCTGCCATAAGTGTGGCCCACCGGCACCAGCCTCCGCTGCTCCACATACGCCTGCATGCAGCCCCGCCAGCAGCAGCGTGCCGATCAAATGCGGCAGCACCGTCTGGCCCTCTGACTGGGTACTTGTGAGCACAGGCAAGTCGGCGTCCGCGGCTGGCTGTGCACTTCAGCTGCCACCTGCGCATGCGGCCAAGCGCTCTGCCTCTTCTGCATGCCGGCATGGCGCCGCTGACAGCCAACCTGTGTGCAGTCCTCGGGGTCACACCTGCCCCGCCGCACCAGGCTCTTGGCGAGCGCGATCGTCATCTGCGGCCGGGCGGCGGCGCGGCGAGCACAAGCGCATGGGCCAGATGGAAGCGATACATGGGGCAAGGTGCCCCGGTAGCTGTAGCCTGCCCGTTCGCTTCACGCAGCAGGCCCGCAGGCTGACCAGCGAGACAAGGTAGAAAGGAAGAATGAAAGGAGGGAAACGGCACTGACCTGCGTGTCGTCTGTGTAGCGCCCCGTCCTGCCGCCGTGATCGGTTGGGTTGGGCGCAAACTCCCGCAAGCCCTCCTGTCCATGCCTGTTGCTGCAAATGGGCAGCGGCAGGGGGCTACGTCAAGCAGGCAGGCAGGCGGAAGCATGCATGAGGCCAGCATGCACGTGCACAGGGGATGAGGTACGCAGGCAGGCCGGCAGGCAGGTGTCAGGCGGGCTTGCTCATGGCGTTTGCCCCACCGACTCGATTTGTGCCCACATCGCTCCACCGGCGCCCCCAGCACGTCGCCACAGAGCACCCCCACCAGGCACCCAACGCAGCGGCTAGTGTGGCCTGTGTGCTGCACAGCAATCGCAAAAGCGGCGAGTGAAGTGAAGCAGGTAGGTGCCCAAGGCGGGGAGCCGAAGAGGCAGGGAGCGAGACACGCACTCATGCAGAGCAGGGCAGGCGGAGAGAAAAGCTGGACTCGCGCACCGGTGTAAACTCCGGCACCTCGGCTGCCTGCACTCCACTACTGCCGTCTGCTGCTGTGCGACTGCCGCCGAGGCTGGCTGCGGCTGCTCCCGCCTGCCAGCCGTGCCGGGCAGCTCGCTTGGCTGGCGGCTGGCTGGCGCCGTCTGCTGCCTGGCTGCTGCGCTTGCGGGGCGCACCCAACGGCGAGGCTCCGGGCAGGGCCACCTTGAATCCAAACAGGTAGTGCTCTGCATCCTCCTGCTTAGCCAGGAAGAGACGGTCATGCGGCTGCAGTAGCAAGGTGATGCCTGCTCCCACCGGATGCACTGGCTCCCTCCCCGCCCATTGCAGGTAGGCTGCCTGGTGCACGCCGGCCTCCAGCTGCCACTGCTGCGTGGCCCCAGCCGCACCGACTGCGCCGGCGGCGCCCGCGCCTGGCCCGGGCGCCGGCACGGCGCGCAGGGTGATGTGCCAGCGGGCGACGTTTGCGCCGTGCGGCGCCTGGTCGCCAGCGAAGCCGCACTGTGGGCGCAGCCCCAGCACCGCCTCTGCTGGCGCTGCTCCTCCCGCTGCTCCTTCTGCCGGCTTGGCTTCTTGGGGCAGAACATGCTCTCTGCCAACAGGTATTGGCTTGGGCGAGTCACCAAACAGCGGGCACAGCAGGAAGGCGGGCTGTGCCGCCACCGCCGCCGCCGCCGCGCTCTCCTTCCTAGGCAGCGGCATGCCGGCTGGCCGTTCCGACATTCTCCTGGGGGATTCGTGCAGTCTTTGTGCGTTTTTGCAGCTGTTGCCGGTGTGGCAAACACGAGCAAGAGCCTGGCGTAGAGCGCAGGGGTGAGGCCAGCACCATCTTCGATTGCACCGGATTTGGCACTGGAGTCTGCAAGTGCCGATGACAGGGTTTTCCATTGAGGCGGCGGCAGGCGCCACGTCAGCTGCCGCCGAATGATGAGAGGTATGTATGTGGAGAAGGGAGCAGCTGCCGACATACATGTCTGTGAACGTCGAAAGCATCAGAGATCGACTAGTGGCATCAGTTGCGTGGTTTGTGCAATTGAGAATTTCTCTGTGAAACTTGAATGCATGCATTGCGCTGGCAGCCACGGTGCCGCCTCGTCATCACCGCCGCGGTACGGCTGATACAGCGATCGTGTCGTGCTACCGATGAGATTGGTGGTACCGTGCAATGCTGGTCTGCGAGCCACTCTGGGGATGGCTGCTGACTGGGCGGAAGCCGCCAGCCGCCCACCGGCGCGGTAGCGCGGCCGCGTTGGGTCGGTACACCGCTGGTGGAAGGAATCACACATCAAGGCACATAAGGCATGCATCAAGGCACGTAGTGCATCAAAGACAGCGCTGGGAATAGGCAGTGGCAGGCACCATACCGAGGACCTCAAGGTCCCCCAGGCGGGTCGAGGGGCCAGGTGGCGGCGGCGGCGCCACACCGCCAGCGCCATCATGCTGGTTCTGCATGAAGTGCCCACCTCTCTGCGGCTGCACCTGCCCTCAATTCCCTGAAGAACGCCCCCAGCTGAACCATCCCGGAGCCCAGCCGGCCACCCAGCACACGGTTATTTTGCCCCACGTGAGACCGGACTGGGTGCGCAGACTGTGCACAGGCAGCCCGCCGACACCGCAGCCCAGCGGCAGCAGCCGACCAGCGGGCGGGAGCCGCCGCCGCCGGCAAAGCCCTCGACCTGCACCTCACTGCTGTGCAGGTTCCAGGCCGCCGGGCAGTTACTCGCAGGCGCAGCGCGCCTGCACGCCCCTCTGCCTGTGATGGCCTGCCAGACGTGCTGCTGGCCCGCATCCTGGCGCTGGCGGGGAGGGGCGAGTGGTGAGCGTGCCAAGGCTGAAGTGGCCGCTAAGTCACCTGCTGGCAAGGGCAGCCAGGTCAGGCGCCTGGAATCCATGGCGCCTAGGTCATTTGTCGCTCTGCCTCTGCCCAATGCAGGCGCACGGTCACGTGCGTGTGCAAGTGCTGGGAGCGCCTCTTCTTTTGGGAGCCCTCCCTGTGGCGCACCTTTGACCTGGTGCCACCCAGCGACTCCCCATTGCATCAGGGGGAGGAGGTGGAGCGCGCCTGGTATGCGGCACAGCAGCGCACCCTGGCGCGCGTGGCGGCCCACGTGGAGGTGTTCACCGCAGGCAACCCGCAGTACTGCATGGCGGACCCTGCCCAGGGCGCTCCAGACCAACGCATCGTGCTGGAGGAGTTCCTGGCGCTGCTGCAGCCGGGCGTGCTGCGCCAGGCGGAGCTGTGGTGGGAGCTGGTGCCTGACCATGCGGCGGCGCTGCAGCCCTTCCGGCGGCTGGAGTCGTTGCTGCTCAACCAACAGAACTTCATGCCGGAAGAGGTGGTGGCGCAGTGGAGCCAGCTGCCAGCGTTGCGCAACCTGGAGCTGCATTCTAGTGGTTTGGGGGAGGACGAATGGGAGGCCATTCTGGAGCTGACTCAGCTGACCCGCCTGGCAGTGGAGACCTTTCACGTGATTACCTCGGGCTTCTCCGAGCAGCAGGCGCAGCTGCCGCAGCTCACGCGGCTGCAGCACCTGCGGGAGCTGGCAATCACACACCGGCCCGTCGTTTTCTACATTGAGATGGCTGCCTATGATCAAATGGACGGGGGCGTGGTGGGCGTCCCGTCGCTCAGCGGGTTCCCATCCCTCCAAAAGTACCAGTTCCACCTGCGGCCCGATCATTGGATCCACTGGGACTTCAGGGTGAGCCCCGCAGCACACACCCGTTGCATGGCGCAGCCTGGCACAGGTCTCCGCCAATGGTTCAGACAGCCATCACCCACATGCTCGACCAGTGCTCAAGACCAACCTGCTCACACGGCTGTGCCGCACTTGCAGGTTGGTGGCACCTCGTTGTCGATGTGCAGCTACAACGGCAAGGGACAACTACAAATTGCCTACATCCGCAGTCTGGAATCCCTGCACCAGCTGGTTGCGGCGCTTCTGCCAGCGGGCAAGCCGCTGCCAAGCCTGCATCTCCACAGCGTGCTGGGATGCGAGCCCGGCGCCTTGCAGGGCTGCACTGCTCTAGCCCAGGTCCACTCGTTGCTGCTGTCTGAAACGTTTTTCAGCGAAGCGGAGTTTGCTACACTTTCGCAGCAGGCCCCGCAGCTCACACAGCTCGTTCTTCACGAATGCTTTCATGGCCGTTTGCCTGCCAGCGTGGTAGCCAGGCGAGGCCTGGAGCACCTGGTGCTGACCAACAACAACCTGCACAACATCCCGCCCGGCCCATACCTGCAAGGTGAGAGCGCCTTGGCTTGGCTTGGCTCAATTTTGCTTGCGCTCAATTTGGCTCGCCTCAATGCATCCCCATGCTGCAGATCTCCGGTGCCTTGATCTGGGCAATAATTCGATCGCCACTCTGCCTGCTGCGCTGTCGGCGGCCACCTCGCTCACCCGCCTGGAGCTGGATGGCAACCCTGCGCTGGCGCTGAGCGCCAGTGATGTGGACATCCTCTCTGTCCTGCCATACCTCCGCATCCTCGTCATGAAGCGTGACAACACCCCGACACGGGTGCTGCGGTCCCTGTACCGCAGAATGCCGGCCCTGGGGTTTGGCTGACTGGCAGGGGCACTGTGCAGATCGGACAGGGGAGGAAGCAGGGTGAGCAGGCCAGACTAAGATTCCAGCATGCATCACATGGAATCGGAATTGCTATTTGTTTTTGTAATGAACTCTCTGAGAGCTGGCATGCAGGGATGCCACATGCATGGCCACAAGGGCGGTACGGCACCTGCTGCCGCGGCGTACCCCGCCGCCCAATTCTGGCCGCGTGCCACTGCCTCGCCCTTCCGCAGCTTCTTAGCACGATGGCTCCCCGCCGCAGCCCTCGTTTGGCCGCTGCACAGCCTGCCGCACCCACAGTGCACATCAGCGCCCTTCCTGATGCCTGCCTCGGCCAAGTTCTGGCGCTGGCTGGCACCCGGCGTGATGTGGGGTGAGACAGGGGATTGCAGCGCCACGCTCGCCAGCGCCTGCCCCGCCCGCCCTCCGCCACCGCCGGTACGATCACTGACGCAATCCCCTGCGCTTCCCGTCTTCTTCTTGCAGGCGCACCGCCTCGCGGGTCTGCAAGCGATGGCGGGCTGTTGTGTTCAGCGAGCCAGCCCTCTGGCGCGTCTTCTTCCTGCCCCTCCACCATGAGTTCCAGCAGGGGGAGCTGGCGGCGAGGCGGGTCGTGCTGCAGCGTGTGGGCGCCATGGTGCAGCGCCTGTCTGTGCAGTTCATAGAGGGGTCTGCAGACCTGCCCAGGCCCTACCTGCTGGCCGAACATCTGCAGCTGCTGCACCGGGCAGCCTGCGGGAGTTGTCGCTGGAGGGGAGCTGTCACCTGTCGCCGCCCGTGCTGGGCAGCTGCTGCGCTTCACGCAGCTGGCGTTCCTGCAGCTGCGCCTGCCGGAGCTGCGGCAGGCAGACATGGCGGCCCTGGCCCAGCTGCCGCCCCTGGCCAGCTTGGACTGCTGCGCCCGCCAGGTGCCCGCCTGCCTGGCAGACTGCCTGTCTCAGCTGTCGGCGCTGGAGACATTGAGGCTGGAGAGCATCGCGGCGTTGCCGCCCATGCAGCAGCTGACGCGCTCGCCTCGCCTGCGGCACCTCCGCATCAGGAGCCCCGCAGACGGCAAGCAGGACTGGCTGCCAGTTCCCAGCGACTTTGCGGCGCTGCAAACATATGACTACCAAACCTTCGGGTTTGGGGTGAGCTGCTGCTGCCGTGGGGGGCGTGCTGCTTCTGGTGCCCTGCTGTCGCCGCCACCTGTGGCAGCCTGTGGAATTGCCAGCTGTGCAGCACAACAGTCCTGCTCTGCCCACCACCGCCACACCAGCTGCAGACCCATGCCGGTGCTGTGCTTGTTGACCGACAGGCGGCAACCCCGGTCGTCGCCTCCCATCCCCGCCTGCCCCCCATGCTCTGCCCACCCGGTGCAGGTGGCTGGCGCCTGGATGGCGGGCTGCACGTGCTGCAGGGACCCTCAGGGTGGCGAGGGCGACGTGGCGCTGTCCCTGATGAACGCGGCTGCAGTCGGGGCCCTGGGCGCCTTGCTGCGGGCCCTGGTGCCCGCTGGCGCGAGGCTGACCTGTCTGGAAGTCCGCAACTCTGCGCTGGACGCCGCGCCGCTCCACGGCTGTCCTGACCAGCTGTCGGCGCTGACGGAGCTGTCGCTGTCGGGGTGCAGCACGGCCAGGCACCAGTCCGATGTGCCTGCGGTGCTGGCCGCGCCGCTGGGCCAGGCGCCACGGCTGGCAGACCTGTCAGTAATGGGGGGCAGCCTGGAGGCCCTGCCAGAGTGCGTGACCTCCCGGCGGGGGCTCACACGCCTGGCCCTGGAGCACAACGAGCCGAGGAAGCTGCCGAAGGGTGCCTACCTGGCAGGTGAGCCTGCCCGCTGTGGGCTAGTGTCGGCCCCGCTGTGGGCTCCGCTTGGCGTGCAGGCAGCGACTGCCTGTGGTTGTGGCGTGTGGGCTGCCGCCCCTCCCAAGCCTGCTCTCCTGCCCACCACCCACATGCGCACACACACAGATCCGCACGTACCATATGCCTGGCCCTGGAGAGCAGCTGCTTGAACTTGAAAGCATCTGCCCTGTCCTGCCCCGCCCCGCAGACCTGCGCGAGCTGGACCTCAGCTGGAACAACGTGGGCCGCGTGCCCGTGTCGCTCAAGGCCGACACCTCCCTGGCCGGCCTCAGCCTGCACGGCGACCGCCCGCTCAAGGCGGCGGACATCGAGGGCGTGCTGGCACGGCTGCCAGCCCTCACAACTCTAGACCTGGGCAACACGGGGACCCCGCAGGCTGTGCTGCGCGAGCTGCACGCGCGCCTGCCGCGCCTCGCCATCCTGCTGTCCAGCCGGCGAGGCTACTGACGCTGGGCGGCGCTGCATGCGGTGCCAGGCGTCCTCGCTGAACCTTGGCTGCGCCACAGTTGTAAACGGACTATGTATTGTGCCTGCTCTGTGCGTGCTTCATCAGCATAGGCGGCGGCAGCATCCTGCTTGCGGCGGGATACCTCTCACGTGGCAGATGCCTCTTCAGTTCTGTGCAGCTGCATGCTTTCCACCTTAAACTGTACAGCTGCAAGAGTCCACGTGGCCACATGCGCCAGCGCCTTGGGGCAAGCAAACAGCTGTGCCGCGTCGAGCCGTGCCGCCGCGTGCTGCTGCAGCCACCGCCATGCGGATTCGGGCGTGGTGACTGCCTCCAGTGCGGCCGCAGCTGCAGCCTCACCCTCGGCGGCGGTCGCCACCACTCTCGCAAAGTACAGCCCCATGGAGGCCACGCTGCGGTTGTCGCCGCTTGTGTCGGCCAGGGGGGGGCAGCGCGCCACGTCGGCTGCCACAGCTGCCGCGGTTTCTGCCACCAGCAGCAGGCCGCGGACTGGCAGCGCGTGCCCAAGGCGTTCCATGCTGCCACACCGCGCTGCGTAGCCGCCGCGGGGCTGCCGGCAGGGGACTCCAGCTGCGCCAGCGTCCGCCCCGGCAGCAGCAGCACCAAGCAGTGCGGCTGCGGCAGGTGGGCTGGGGTCGCCTGCTGACGCAGGTGGGCCAGGCCGCTGGCGGACCAGCCGTGGCGGGGGCGGTGCTGCGCGACAGCGTGCGCCACCGCAAACTGGCTCGGCTGGCACTGCGGCGTGGTCAGCGTGACGGCTGCGCCGTCGGCGGCCGGCACCGCCGTGTGCAGGATGTGGCAGCGGCTCGGCACCGCTGCCGCCTCCGCCGCGCAGGCCTCCGGGTCGGCGCCCTCTGGCAGGGTGATGATGCTGGTGCGGGCTCCAAGGTGCGGGAGCGGCGTGTCATCGGGAGCAAGCGAGGCCAGCCCCGTGGCGGTGGCCACCTGCCCCGCCACGGCACTGGCCGCCAGGCGCGCAAGGCGCGCGTGGGTGTTGGGCACCTGCGCCGGCAAGGAGGAGGGGCCGAGGTCAGAGCTGGGCGTGGCATGGGCCTTGGAAGGCGCAATGGTGAGGCGTGGGCTGGCTCCAAGGCCGCATGGTGGTCGTGCATGCCCTGCCAGCGCTTGTTCCGTCTCTTCCCGCTGCAGCCGCCGCCCAGCCGCCGCCGCACCCGCGGCTGCCAGCCCCACCTCGTGCTCGGCTCCTCCCTCGGCTCCTCCTCCATCCGCATCCATCCTGGCTGGCACGTTGGGCTGGGAGCTGGGGCTGGCCCAGCCCAACTGGGGCAACCTCTGTGGCCCGCTGGACCTTGTTCAACAGCAGCGACCCGCCCCCTCTCCCACAGTGGTGGGCAATGTACTCCCACTTGGGATTACCACACAAACTCCGCCATTCACCCGTGGCCCCAGTTGCGTTGTGCCCATGTGCCGCTCTGGAGGAAAGCGGCTCCGCCGCGTCCAGCACCGTTGGCCGCTCTATCATGCCTCTCACATTCCACCATGCAAAGCAGCTCGTCTGGCAGGCAGGCAGGCACCCAGCCGCATTCTGTTGTGGCATGGGCCTGGCAACAACAGAGGACGCAGCAGACGGAAGGGCGCGAGAGGGCACGCATCAAACCAGCGGTGGTGGTGTGGTGGGGAGTCGGGCAAAGAGGGGCAAGCGTTGTAGCGTCGGTGAGAGAAGGCACACAGACACTGGAGGGAAGAAAGTTGAACTCACCTTAGGCGTGGCTCAGCATGCGCAGCAGCGCCGTCGCACCCATCTGGTGTCCCACCCCCTGTCTGTCACATCATCTGCTCCCCCGACCAGAGGCCCGGTGCGCTTGATGCCAGGGGTGCGGCAGCAGAGCCAGCTGCTGCCGAGCCAAGCAGCCAGCCATCGACAAGTGCTGCTGCCCTCAGCAGCCAAGCAGCCGCCCCTCACAGGGGCTGCTGCCCCTCACAGCTGCTGCTCCACACTTGGTGTTACATGCCCTCATGCCAAACAGGAAGATGGCACAGCGCAACTTGTACTTCGCCCCGCTCAGCCCCCTGCTGCACAGCCTGCCACTGCTGCTGCAGCCGTCCCGCTGCCCGGCTAGTGGGTTTACTGACAGACATCAGCTTGCATGAAGTCAGCCTGGCACGCCAGCCCCTGGGTACACCCACACCAGGGGAACCCTTTGTTTATTATTTATTTTGTGCGGCCTGAGGGTTTGAAGTAAAAAAAAATTGTGGAACCATTTCTCGAGCAGAGCGTGTCATCCTTGCGCAGGGGCCATGCTAATCTTCTGCGGCAGGGCGAACGACGGGACAGGGTGAGTTTTCGCTAGCAGACAGGCTATCAACCGACATGTGCTATCGATCAGGCGGCCGCCTCACCTCTGTATCCTGCGACTCGATCGAAGAGGGGGAACACAAGCATTGCCTCTAGTTAGGCTTCAGAACAAACCAGCAGTGCAATCGGAACGATAAGAGTCAAATTATAGTAACTCACGTTCCAATTTTATCAAGTGCCCGAAGGCGGATAGATTACGCTCCCTGCGATTCATGACTGGCCGGCGTCAATCCGCCCATCGGTTATGGGACCCACTGAATGCCTGGCATCCGCCTCAGGCCACCGTCGTCAGCCTTCTGCAACTCCCCCTTTACAATCCTCCTGCGCGCCCAGCAGCCCCGCAGCACCCGCCACGGAGGCCCCCAGCCTGCAGGGCCCCGAGCTGGCGCGCGCGGCCACCGCGTTTGGGGTCGTCGCTGGCCGCCTTGACGACCCCCGCGACAGGTGAGGCGATCTGGTGCACGCAGCGGGCCGGACGAGGCAGGCACGGCGGGGCCCCAGCCCAGCCATGGGCGCCCCTGCGCGCGGCCAGCAGGCTCGGCCGGGCCTGGGATGGGTCGCAGCGGGCCCCAGGAGGCTCTCAGGGGCCGCCGACGCTCCAACGCTGGCACCCGCCCACAACCCCGCCTGCCCGCTCCCCTCCCGTCGCCCACCTCGCTGCCTCTGCAGCCTGCCCCTGCTCTCCACCTGCCGCGCCATGCGCGAGTACCAGACGCGCGTCCTGCTGGGCATCCTGCGCCGCCGCGGCACCGTGGCCGCCGGCCTGCGCGACTCCTAGCGCCACCGGCAGGCATGACGCGCCCAGGAGGCGGCGGAGGCAGCGGCGCGGGCCGCCGGCGCCCCCGCCCCCACCCCGCCCGGCATGGACTTTGCGCCCGCCAGCCCGGTAGCCCGCATGCTGGCCCAGCCGGGCCGCCTAGCCGGCGACAGCGGCAGCGGCAGCGAGTTCACCAGCTCGCTGCAGCCCTTCAGCGGCCAGGTGCACATCGAGCAGCCGCACCCGGGCACCGCAGGAGTCAGCGAGGAGCAGGTGCTGGGCGCCTTGGACATGCTGGCGGCCTGCGGCCTCGGCGCGCTGCGCGCCGACGGCGAGCATTACACGGGCGAGCAGCGGGAGGTGGGGCTGGCGGCCTACAGCAATGGGGTCATGTGGCGGGCGCTGGAGTTGCATGGCGTCATGATGAAGGGCGGGGGCGGCAGGCTGCGCCCCACCCACGGGCCCTCAGCGCTGGTCTACCTGCGCGGCAACCACCAGCCAGCCCACGCGCACGGCCCCGGCGACGTGGAGAAGCTGCCGCTGGGCCTCGGCAACAACCGCCACGCCGGCGCCAGCCGCAGCGGCATGTGGCCCATCCTGGTGGCCTATCGCCCAGGCGATGCCGCCCTGCTGCTGCAGCCCGGCAGCCGCGCCGCCGCAGTCAGCCTGCCCGTGCGCCACGGCGGCGCGTGGGCCGCCACGCCGCTGGGGCTGGGTGAGTTTGGGCACCACCAGCTGTACCAGTATGGCGCTCCCGTGAACAGCCACCTGCTGCTGCACGGCCGGCCGGCGGAGCCGCTGTCGGGCATGACACTCAGGCAGGAGCTGCCTGCGGAGGGCGAGACGGCGGAGGAGGCGCTGCAGCTGACGGTGGCGTGCATCCAGCAGGCACAGGCCTGGGCCAGGGCGGCCGGCCCGCCCACCGCCCCCGGCAGCAGCGACCCGCAGCGGTTCGGCTAGCTGTGCATCGTGGTGGGGCTGCAGGAGCCAGACCTGCAGCTGCTGCCGGGCGCAGACAGCGACATTGGCAGGCTCAGCAGCAGCCAGCCCGCCGGCAGCAGGAGCAGCGGCAGCGGTGGTTGGCCGGTTGCAGTGGCAGCAGCCGGCCCGCAGTCAGCTTGAGGCGCGGCGCGGGCCGCTGAGGGGCCAAGCCACCGCCAGCGGGCAGGGCTTCAACGTACACGTCGGGACCATGCACGGCTGTTCTGCCGTCCCAGCAGCATTCCCAGCCAGTGGATGCATGCAAGCCACTGAGCCTGCCAGTTCCCGCTGTATCTTTATTGTCTTAATAATGCTGATAACATGCGGGCATCTCCCCCACACGTGTCTCACCCCTGCTTCTTGTGATGATGATGATCCAGCCCATTCAGTGCCTCAGGGATGCCCATGCTGTGCGTGTCGTGCCAGGTGGGCACTCGCCATGGTTCCTCCCCGGCGCGGTCCTATGCGCTTCAATGCTGCAAGGTTATGTTTGCAACAACCCGGCACTCATAGCGGTAGCAGCAGCGACAATGCAACAGCAGCGGCAATGCGGGCTGCAGGGGTCCCTCTCGTGGGTCAATTCGCTATCACTGCCGGGACAGCCGAGTAAGGAGACGCAGCTGAAAGAGTTGCAGCAGGAGATGCTCGCCCAGCCCTCCTCGGGCTGCCAGCCCGGCGACCCCCTGCTCACCAGCTCGCTGCTGGGCCGCACCACCATCCCTCCCTGCTCTACGACCCCTACATCTGGTGGCTGCAGCAGCGCAAGACCGCCGCCGCGGTGGCAGTCTGGAGCAGCCTTGGCAGGCCGCAGCAGCGGCTGGTGGGCCTGCTGGCTGAGCAGGCGCCGCACACATTTGCCAAGTAGCTGCGCCGGGAGGTGGATCGGCAGGCCGCCGCCGCCGCTGTCACCCGCCGCAATGTGGCGGCAGCGGCGGCCGGGCCGTGCCTGCGCGACCTGCCTGGCTCTGCGCTGGTCAGGGCACTGCTGATGGAGGGGAGCAGCCTGCTGGACCGGGCCGGCAAGAGCGACAGCGATCGGGCGGCGCTGCAGCACCTGCTGGGCAGCGAGGAGGGCGCCAGGGCGCTGGCAGCGGTGTGGGCGGCCGCCTGCCTGCCGCCCTGCCTGATGCACGACGAGATGAAGTGGGCTGCTGCGCTGGGGCTGGCAGAGCACCTGCTGAAGCGGGCACGCGCTTGCCGTGGGCGGTGGAGGCACGCGGCGCGATGAACGGCCTCATCCCCTCCCTGGACGGTGGGGCGCGGCGGGAGGGGGTTTGGGTGCAGCGGCGGGCGGGGCGCACTGCCGGGGCGCAGCGGCACAGCAACCCGGCCCTCGCTGGCACAGCCACCATGCCGCAGCCCCTCTGATCTGCCCAGCCTCCTGCAGAGGGTGGGTGGACGGCGGAGCCTGCAGCGCCACTGCAGCCGTTCCTTTAACCACTGCTCCCTGCTGGCCCCCGCCCGGCCCCGCGCTGCAGCAGGAGGAGAAGAGGAAGAAGCATAAGCGGCAGCACCAGCAGCTGCAGCACGCAGCAGTACCGCAGCAGCAGCGTTGGCAGGAGCGGCCGAAGCAGCCCCGCCCGCAAGAGGCAGAGGCGGCAGGGCGTTGGATCACAGGTCAGGACCATCCATAGCTGCCAGTGTACATCAGTCCCTGCCGCATGCCAGCGAGCTGCATCCCCAGCTTGTGGACGGCAGCTGCATACTCGAGTAACCGAGCGGCGGCATGCCGCCTGTACAGTCCTGCTGCCTTTTTGTCCTGTGAACATGCTGATTGTGCCTGTAACTACTTTCTGTATCATTGCTGCTTCTTGTGAAATAATGGCAGCTACATGGGCTTGAGGGAAGGCACACTCGAGAAACGCGGCATGCCCTCTGGCGCCCAGAAAATGGAAGGAGTGAGCCTGAGCCTCTCTAGGGCCCTGTGCAGGCTGGCCGACATGACCCGCCGCCCGCCCCGCCACCTACCAAGCACGGAAGCAAACCAAGAGGATGGTCTGAAGGCCCCCCTGCACCGTCGCCTGGACACTTTTGGCACCGCCGCTGCCGCCGGTAGCCAGCCAACACAAGGCTAACACCGTCCAGTAGCCAGCCTGCCACCCCGAGAGCTGCCCAGACCGACCCTGGGGCAATATGGGTGTGAATCATTGCAGGTGAATTCACAGTGCAGAGAAGGAGGCACTCTACCCCAGCCCGCCCACGCCGCCACCGTGCTCCCGCCGCAGCCACTCCCGGCACTCGTCGGCCGTGCCGGCGGGGTGCGCCAGCTGCCAGTCCACCGCTGCCGCCAGCAGCCTGCCCAGCTGCGGGCCGCCGGCTGTCATGCCCATCGCCGCCATCACCTGCGCCGCCAGCCGGGCAGATAAGTGGCTCACGCACACCAGCACACCCGCGGCAGCTTCGCTACCACCAGCACACACGCAGCAGCGGGGCGGCGTCCCTCGCCGCACGCCTGCTGCCCCGCAGCCTGCCCTCCTCGCTCGCGCCGCCCCACCCCGGCAGCGCACACCGCAGCAGCGCGCCTCCCCGCCTCCCCACCTGCTTTCCGTCCAGCAGCGGCTTCCACTGCCAGCAGCCGGCCACGCCGTAGGCCGTGGCGGCATCCAGCAGCACCTCGCAGAAGTCCAGCCTGCGGGGGGGCAGGTGGCAGCGGGCGGGCTGGGTGTGGACGGGCGTGGGTGGGCTGAGCGTGGGTGGGCCGGGCGTGGGTGGGCGGGTGGTTGGGAGAGAAGAAGCAGGGAGCACAGGCAGGCAGGCAGGCGAGCGGGCAGGCCGGCAGGCGGGCAGGCCGGCAGGTGGGCAGGTGGGCGGGCAGGAGGGCAAGCAGGCGGGCAGGCAGGCAGGCAGGCGCGCGGGCAGGCAGGCGGGCAGGCACCCAGCAGGAGCCTTGCCCTCGCTCGTCGCAGCACGCAGGCGGCGCCCGCCCGCCTGGCGGCCACCCCCACCTGCGCTGCGTGCCCGCCGCATCCGGCTCTCCGTCCGACGGCTCCGCCGCCGCCGCCGCCGCCTCGCCCGGCGACAGCGGCGCCGCCTCTCCGTCCAGGCCCATGCCGCGGCTGCTGTGCAGGAGGGCCGCCGTCACGCAGCCCGCGGGCCAGAGCTGCTTGAGGGAGCGGATGACCCGGCCCAGCCGCATCCGCAGCTCCTCGGGCGCTGCGCCACCACAGGGGAGGCAGGGAGGGAGGCAGGGAGGCAGGCAGGGAGATGGGTGGGTGGGAGGAGGGGGCAGCGGGGCAGGGGTCAGGGCACAGGGAGCCGGCAGGGGCAGCCTTAGCTGGCAAAAGCAGGATGCACAAACGCTGGGCGCGCAGCGAGCGAGGCAGGCGCGGCGCCCGGCCCGCAGCCCCCCCCCTCTCGCCCCGCCCCGCGCCGCCCCCCGCCGCGCCCCGCGACGCCACGCCCGGCGGCGCCCCACCTGGCACGCCGTCGGGCTGGCCCTGCAGCTGCCGGTAGATCGCCGCCAGCTGCGGCGCCGCCGCGTGCAGCGCGTCCACCGCCTCTGCGTCTTTGGCCTTCCACTTGAGGGCCTCCCGCACCACGTGGGCCGCGGCGCTGCGGGGAGGGGAGGGGAGGGCTTGCGCAGGGGCAGAGTGGAGGGGGCAGGGCGCTGGCGGGGTGGCAGGGTGGTGCGCGAGCGTGTACGGCAAAGCGGGGCGGGCGGCGGCGGGCTGGCGCGCGCGGCCGCGCTGGCAGCCCCCGCCTGGCAGCCTCCCCCATCGCAGGCCCGGGCCACAAGCCCCGCAGCATTGCCTGCCCAGCCAGCCAGCCAGCCAGCCAGCCACCCCCTCCTGCTCCCACCCACCTCGTGGCCTTGCCCTTGGCCGCAGGAACTTGCAGGTCGGCGACGGGCAGCAGCACGGCGGCCAGCAGGCAGCGGCGTCGCGCGTCCCGATCAAAGGCCGCCTCCGGGTGGCCCCAGGCCGCCATCTCGTCGTACGCCGCCGCCGCCAGCGCGGTGGCGGCGGCGCCAAAGGCGGCCTCGCCCAGCCCGCCCACCGCGGCCGGCGGCAGGGCAAAGACGGCGGCAAAGATGCGGAGGCGGTGCAGCAGGCGCAGCGCCATCACGGGGTCGGGGCCTGCGCGTGTGGAGAGGGCGGCACTGGTGTTAGAGAGAGCGAGAGCGAGAGCGAGAGAGAGAGAGAGAGAGGGGCACACACACTACAGAAGACGCAGGCGCAGCCACGGTCCAGCCCAACCGCCACCTGCTTGCGTGGCAAGCCGCCCGGTGCGCCGGCTGGGCGCCGCCAGCGCGGATGCCCTGCCCCACCAGCCCGCCCCACCAGCCCGCCCCACCCGCCGGTCTCACCGTGGATCATGCCCTCCAGCTCCGCGCCGATGCGCTCCCGGCTGACCTTGTGTGCCAGCGCCTCGCGCACCTGCAGGCGTCGCGGCAGGGAGGCAGGCAGTTGGGGCAGGGGCGAGGGGCGAGGGGCGAGCTGGCGCAGGGAGCAAGCACGTGCGCCAAGCATAAATGCGGCGGGAGGCAAGGAGGCTCGTGCTAGCGTCGGATGCTAGCAGGGGAGCCTGTGGACAAGTGCTCAACGCGGGGAGGGTGAGTGCAGCGGCTGGACGGCTTGCACCAGCACTGGGGCCGGCCGGACGCTCGTGCCACCGCCGCCAGGGCACAGCGCGCATGCCGCGGCGGCAACATGTGGCCGCTCCATTCGCTGCAGCGTTCCCAACCGCTGCCTGTTTTGCACCGGTCCCCTGCTTAGACGAATACTGCAGGCCCACCGCAACCACATCACCACACTCCGCAGCCAGGCAGCGCCGATCGCGGCCCCCCAGCCAGCCATGGGGAGCGTCAATGTGGAGGTCAAGTGGGGCAAGGAGAAGTTCGCCGTGGAAGTCGACCTGGAGCAGCCGCCGGCGGTGCTCAAAACGCAGCTCTTCTCGCTGACGGGGGTGCCCCCGGAGCGGCAGAAGATCATGGGCGTCAAGGGCGGGCTGCTCAAGGACGACGGCGAGTGGGCCAAGCTGGGCCTCAAGGCGGGGCAGAAGCTGACGATGATGGGCACCGCCGACAAGGTGCCTGAGGCCCCCACCACGCAGCAGACCTTCATGGAGGACCTCCCGGAGGAGGAGCAGGACACCAGCGGTGAGCTGGCTGCCGCTGGCAGGCCGGGGCCGCGCCCGCCGGCACGCAGCGGGCACGCTCGCTGCGGCGCGGCACGCGGCGGCGGTTGCCGCGAGGCGGTTGGCGGTCGCGTCGCCGCCGCCCACCGGGCCCACCGGCGCCTGTGCTTGCAGGCATGGGCAAGTACGGCGCGGGGCTGCAGAACCTGGGGAACACTTGCTACATGAATAGCACGGTGCAGTGCTTGTACGCCGTGCCCGAGCTGCGCAGCAGGTGCGCGGCCCCGTGCGGGGCCTTGGGGGTTGGGGCTCGGCTGGGCGACTGGCGCGTAGTTTCAGGCTGCCAGCCACAGCAGCAGCAGGAGGAGGAGAAGGCAGGAGGCGGGAGGGACAAGGGAGGCAGCCGCGCCTCGCAGCAGCAGCAGCAGCGCTGGGCTGCCCCGCCTGCCTCCCACCACCCCGCCTGCTGCCTGCCTCGCCTCCCGTGCCGCTCGATTCCGCAGCCTGACCAACTACGCCTCCAGCCCGGCCATCGGCGGCGGCGCCGACGGCAACCACACGCTCACCGTGGCCACCCGCAACCTGTTCCAGAGCCTCACCCGCTCGGTGCAGCCGGTGCCGCCGATGGAGTTCATCCTGTCGCTGCGCAAGACCTACCCCCAGTTTGGGCAGACCAGCAGGTGCCGGGAGGGCGGCAGGGCGGGCAGGGGGCTGCGCAGCAGGGGCGCCTGGCCGGGCCCGGCTGCCAGGCCCTGCCTGTTGGCCGGGCGGCTGCCGGCGCCAGGCGGCAGCGCACACGTGCACTGACAGGCGCCGGTGCCCGCCGCGCCGCGCGTGTGCGCGCGCTGCTGTGCAGGGAGGGCTTCTACATGCAGCAGGACGCCGACGAGTGCTGGGGCAACCTGCTGACCAGCCTCAAGGACAAGCTCAAGGCAGGGCCCGCCTGCCAGCCCTGCCTTAACCTTGCTTTCGTGCTTTCCGGCGTCGTGCAGTCCCAGCTCGGCGCTGCCTCAGCAGCCTGGGCTGGCACTAGACGCTTGGGCCGCGCCAGCCAGCAGCCATGCCGCGCCAGCCAGCAGCGCAGACGGTCCCGGCTGTGTGCTGCCGTGCAGGAGGGGCCCAGCAGCGACCCCGTGATCAGGAAGCTGTTTGGCGTGCAGCTGCACGCCACGCTCAAGGCGGGGGAGGGCGAGGAGACAATTGAGGTGCGGCATGCGGCGGCGGCAGCGGCCGGCAAGCCCCCACGCCACACCTCAAACATGAGCTTGGCCTGCGCGGCATTTGGGTGCCAGCCCAGGGCGCCTCCCCGCTGCTGCTGCCATCAGCCCCCTGCGACACTGCCAAAGCCGCAGCGCCTCATGCCACCCAGCCCCTCCCGCCTGCCCGCCCTGCCCGCCTGGCGCAGATGGACATCCAGCAGGAGAAGCTGGTGTGCAACATCAGCGTGGATGTGAACCACCTGTCTGAGGGAATCCGCCTGGGGCTGAAGCAGGACCGCGAGCAGCGCAGCGAGGCGCTGGGCAGGTGCGCGTGGGTTTTCTGCCGCCGCGTGGGTTTTCCTTTTACCTTTAGTTCGGCGGCGGTTAGTGCAGGCCGGCCCTGGCAGCCCCGGCGCCGGGCCTGGCAGCCGCGTGGGCGGGCTGGCAAGCCCACCGGCTCCCCATGCGGTGGCCGACAGCCGACCTGTAGGAGGGGGCTGGCTGGGCTGGCCGCCCATCTATGATGCAATCAACGTGAATGGTTCTGCCTGTGTGCAGGGATGTGTTGTTCCAGGGCGATGCCCAGATCTCGGGCCTGCCGCCGTACCTCACCGTCCAGGTGGGAGGTGGCACCACATGCTTGGGGTGCTTCCCGATCTGGGGCCGCCAGGCATTCAGCAGGCCAACGCAGGCAGAGGAGGGCAGCCGCTGCCGCGAGCAGCGTGCCAGGCTGCTGGCTTGGCTTCGGCAGGCCGCAGCAGGCCGCAGCAGGCAGGGCAGAGCGGAGTCTGAGATGCTGGGCGGGCAGCTGAGGTGCTGGCTGGGCTGCCTTGGTGTGTGCAGATGATGCGGTTCTTCTACAAGGCAGACGTGCAGCAGAAGGCCAAGATCCTGCGCAAGGTGCTGAGCTGGCGGCCACGCTGAGCTGGCACCGCACACTGAGCTGGCACCGCGCACGCCGAGCCCCCGTGGCGTGCACGCCGGGGCGTGTGCAGCAGCAGCAGCCTGGCACCTGCCCACTCCGCTCCAGCCCAGCCCAGCCCTGCCCTGCCCTGCCCTGCCCCGCCCCTGCCTTTTCCCCGTCCCTGCAGGTCACCTTCCCCCTGCACTTGGATGTGCTGGAGTTCTGCACGCCGGAGCTGCAGGCGCAGCTCAAGGGCCCGCGCCTGGCAGGCACGCTGCGTGCCCTGTGGGGCCACCCCTGGGGCTGCTGCTGCTGCCGCTGCCGCCTGTGTTTCAGAACTTGGCAGTTTGCTACTGCTCTTTCCAAGTCGAGACTTGTGCCCGACCCCTAACAGCTGATGGCCCCTGCCGCCTCCCTGCCGCCTCCCTGCCTGCCTGCCTGCTCCTCTTGCAGCCAAGGAGCTGGAGGACCGGATGGTGGGGCTGGCCAAGAAGCAGAAGCTGGATGCCGCCAACGGCGGCGCCGCCGCCGCGCCCGCGGCGCCCGCGGCGGCGGCAGCGCCAGCAGCCGGCGGCGATGTGGCCATGCAGGAGGCGGGGGCCGGCAGCGGCGCCGCGGCCGAGGCGGACCCCGCCGCCTTTGCTGGGGAGCTGACTGGTGAGGCAGGCCCCGCTCTCTCTCTGGGGCTGTGTCAAGCAGCCATGTTTGCATAGCGGCCGCTGCACAGCCCACCGACTGCTCCACCAAGCATGTGCCGACTGTCCTGCCTGCCTGTACCGCCCGTACCGCCCGTACCGCAGGCAAGTACGAGCTGATCGGCGTGCTGACGCACAAGGGGCGCAGCGCCGACTCGGGCCACTACGTGTCGTGGGTGCGGCAGGAGGATGGGCAGTGGGTGCAGTTTGATGACGACAAGATGATCCTCCGCAAGGAGGAGGAGGTGCTGACGCTGTCGGGTGAGCTCAGCTGAGGTGGCGGGCGGGGAAGAAAGCGCGCGGGGCGGCAGGGCGTAGGGAGACAGGGGGGGGGGAGAAAAGGAGTGGGAAGGTGGACGGCGCCGCCAGCCGGTGCAGCAGCTTGCTGGCGGCGCAGCCGCTGGAGTTGACCACTGGCAGCAGCTGTTGGCCACTACTAGCAGGCGGCAGGGCCTTGAGGTGCCTGCTGCCGCCGTCGCGCCCTTCTGCCTGCAGGCGGCGGCGACTGGCACATGGCCTACATGCTGCTGTACCGCGCCCAACGGGTGCCCCGGGAGTAGCGTGGCGTACGCCGGTGGTACCGCCGGCGGTACCAAACCCAGGAAGCAGCGGAGGCCCCTGCTAAGGACCACCGTGGGGGCGCGGCCTGCCTTGGCGGCACCTGGCTGGCGGGTTGGTGGCATGTTGTTCTTTCTGGCTGCGCCACCTCACCCGCAGCACAGATCTGTAACGAGGTGAACCCCGACTCCAAAAGGGAGTGCCTTTCGGCAGCAGCAGCAGCAGAGCAACACCTGGCGGCCCCCCAGCCTCACCTCGTCATCTGCAGCCGCCTCCAGCAGCCCCTCCTCCAGCTCAAAACCGAAGCGGGACGCAAAGCGCACGGCACGCAGCACGCGCAGCGGGTCTGCGCGCCCGAAACGCACCAAGGCAGGGGTGGGGTGGCAGGCGCGGAGCGGAGCGTCAGTTGCTGGGTGTGGGGAGCCGCGGCGCGGCGTGGGGTGCGCCTCCCCGCGGCACGCAGCCGCCTCTCCTGCAGCTGCAGCCCCTGCTCTGCTGCACCTCCTTGCCTCCCTCGCTGCTCACCATCCATGAAGGTTTCTTTGGGCGACATGGGCGTGCGGATGATGCCCGCCCGCAGGTCTGGCAGGCCCCTGCATCGCATACGTGGAGGCGGGTGGCGGGTGCGTCCCCATGGGGGCATCCGCGGCGGCCGCCGTAGCAGATCCCTCCCTGGCGTGCCTCTCCTCTCCCTCTGCCTGCCCTTCTCCCGCCGCACCCTGCTGAGGGGCCCACACCGGTCCCTCCCCTCAGCGCCCCCGCCCCTGCGCCCGCCCACCCTTCCCTCCACCACACACGGGCCGCGCGGCCGGCGCTCAAGCCGAGGCGCCTCCCTAGGCTTGGTGACAGTGACAGAGACTGGAGCAGGGGCTCACTGGCTGGTGAAGTCCTCGATCAGGCCTGTGTTGATGTTGTAGAAGAGTGAGTTGATGGTGAAGTCGCGGCGGTGGGCATCCTCCTCAGGGGTCCCAAACTGCGGAGGCGGAGGCGCGGCAGGCGGCGTCGGCGCCCAGGCGCGGCAGCGTGTGCGGGCAGCCCGGGGCAGGCGGCGGCGGCGGGCAGGGCCGGGCAGCAGGCGACCCCAGGCGAGGCGTGGCTGCCCGCTGGCACAGCTGCGCGCCGCGCCCCACCAGCCCAGCCCAGCCCAGCGCTCCCTGCCCGTGTGCCCTGCCCTCGTGCCCTGCCCACTGCCCGCCGCCCCTGCCCTGTCGTCATCACCAGCAGCAGGCAGGCGCAGGCCTGCCCCGGCTGCTCACCGCCATGGTGGGTATGCGGCTGTGGTGTGCATACTCCTCGCTCCGCAGGTTCACCAGGTCGATCCAGAGGCCGCGCACCTGCGGGCGGGAGGATGGTGTTGCGGGTGCGTGGGTGGGTGGGTGTGCCGGTGAGAGGGTGGCAAGATGACCGCCATCCACCACCGCCCCCAAAGCAAGCAGCAAAGCACACAGGCGCCGCACAAGACACACACCACCACGGCACGCAGCAACAGGCGCCCCACCTCCCACACACACACACCACCACCACCATGCATGCATGCAGACACGAGCAGACACAAGAAGGCATGCGGCCCACACACACACACACTCTCTCAAGCGGGCACACACAAGCAGGCGGGCAGCACACACATACACGCACGCATACACACACACGAGCAGGCACACGCAGGCAAGAGACCCCCCCCACCACCACCACCACACACACACACACACACACAGGCCCACCTTCATGCGTGCCGTCTCCAGATGCTTGGACTGCTCCGGGTTGGACATGATGACCGCCACGTGGCGAGTCTCCTCGCCCTGCACCGATATACGGCCAGAGGATCCTGTGGAGGCAGCGGCGGCGTGGGCCGGGCAGGCCCCCAAAACCCCGCACCACACACACACACACACGGCTCCGACCCGCACCACGCTGCCACCCTGCCGCCGCCCTGCTGCCACCCTGACGCCTCTCACCACGCCGCCACCACCTGCCCCCCACACTGTCACACACCCCCTACACACGCCGCCCAGGCCCCCTCCCCAGCCGCCTCACGTGCGCCTTGAGGTGCTCATTGATCCTGTCGGCAAACTCCCGCCCCAGCAGGTTGTCCAAGGCAATATCAATGTCCTGAGAGGTTCGCCCCATGAGCTTGTCCCGCACCCACCCCCCCGCGCACCGCAGCGTGGTGCCCAGCCCGGCCTGCGCGGGGGCGCCCAGGCAGGGGCAGGGCAGGGCAGGATGCCAGGGTGGGCGGGCGGGGGAGGAGGGCTGGGGCTGGTCTTGGCAGCGGCGCCCGGCAATGAACGAATGCAACAGCAGACGCAAGGGGTGTGCATCGTGGCGAATGGCCCAGCTACCCACCCGCACACACACACCACATGCACCCACTGCTGCCACAAGCAGTCACGCCCCTGCCGCCGCCCAGTGCACCCACCTGCTTGGTTGCATCCAGCAGCTCCTTAAACAGTGCCGCCTCCTCCTCAGTCAACTCTATGCTGTCCTTGATGACCGGCATCTCGAACACCGCCCTGGCCCCCTTCCTATACACGTGCGGCGCCTCGCCGGCTGGCACCCCAGAGCCGTTGGCGGCGGCTGCCGAGGCGGCGGCGGCACCGGCCGCTGCCGCTGGCGGCGCGCTGCTGGGGCCTTGCAGGGGCTGCACGCTGGCGCGCGCCTCGCTGCCGTCGCTGCCGAAAACGCGTACCGCCGCTCGGTGCAGGCAGGAGAGGCGGGGCTTCACGAGGGAGACGCCAAGACGCATTTATGCACCCATCCCTGGCCGCCCGGGCGATCGAACGAGCACACTGGAAATCGGCAAGCCCGGTTGAAAGATTGGCGAGCGGCTGGGTGGTCTGACTGCCATTTCCACCACCCCCGCCCGCCACGCGGCACAGCGCAGCGCGCCGCCCACGCCGCCTCTGCATGATGCCACTCTGGTTCTCCCTTTCTATGCATGCAAGTATTGAATGGTATAAATGAATCGAATGGCACTAAATGGGTCAAAACTGGCTGGCGCGGCTTCCTGCGCCACTTGCATCCACCGAAGTGGGGACGCCGTAGCCCGCCCCTCGCCGGAGAGCTCAAATCTTGCTCAGGCTGATCACCCGCCTGTCCAGCTTGTTCTCCAGCACCATGCGGGCCGTGTCCACCTCCTCGTAGAGCAGCGTGTAGGCCACAGAGCCCTTGGAGTTGGCGGCGATCTCGTTGGCGGTGAAGGAGCCGCCCGCGTCCAGCAGCAGCAGGCCCCACTCGCCATTGCCGCTCATCACGCAGCGCGAGACGGCGGGCGTGGCGCCGTCGCGCACCAGCAGCCCGCTGAGGCGGTTGTCTAGCAGTGTACACTGCTCCAGCGACGCCTGGCAGCCCTCGCCTAACAAGTCGCCAAACACAGCCACGCCTGCGGGGCGGTCGGTCGGGCACAAGCAGCCGGGGTGAGACCACGACCAGCCGGGGTGAAGCCCCCGGCAGCCCCAGCCCCAGGCGGCGTCGACTGAGGGGCTGCGCCGTCCTCCGCCAGCTCAGCGCAGGCCAGCCCAGCCCGGCTCACCGTGTCGAGCGCAGTGGTGCACGCTGCACCGCGCCACCCGCGGGCTGCCGCCCTCAATGCCGATGCCGTCGCCGGAGCTGCTGCTGATGTCGCAATCCAGCACCACGGCGGAGCAGCCCTGCCGTGGAGCGGGAAGAAGGGGCGCATGCACGTGCATGTGACGGTTCAGGGGGACTCGCGCGTGGCTCGAGGCAGGGGCTACGGGCACACGCCAGCAGCCGCAGCATGCAACCAGAGCATGCATGCCGGCGCGGCCGCGGCAGCGGGCAGCCCGCACCTCCAGCCGGACCGCATAGTTGTTGGCGATGCTGGGGCTGCTGTGGCGGATGCGCAGCCCCCGCAGCAGCACTGGCCCGCGCACGCCGCTGCACTCCACTGTCGCCTGGTAGGGCTCGGCGGTCTGCCAGGCTACCTCCACGACCGCCCCGGGCGCCGCTACGATGGACACGGGCTGGGTGATGGTCAGCCGCTCCACATACCTGCCGCAGGCAGACGGGCGCAAGGGTTTGGCGGTGGAAGGAGCGAGCTGATGGTCGAGGCAGGAAAGGCAGAGAAGCAGGCCTGCCCTGCACCCTGCGCATGCTCACACAACTTAAAGCAGCTACCATGGCGAAGGCGTCCCCCCCCGGCGGCAGCACACCCACCTTCCGCCGTACACTTCCACCGTGCCGCCGCTGGGTGTGTGTTCTAGTGCCTGGCCGATGGTGGCATAGTCCATGCCCTTGCCTACCGTCACGGTAGCAGCCTGCGCCAAAAGCAGGCAGGCAGGCCGCCCGCGTGAGGTGCAGCAGCGGCATCGCGGCGGACGCTCCGAACAGAAGCAGCCCATTTCGGCAGCCACCCACCTCGCCAGCTTCCGTGGCTGTCGCCGGCAGCGCTAGCAGGGTAGCAGCCGCCTGTAGGGAGCCTAGCAGAGTGCTGCGCCGGCTGAATGCCGCCCCTGCATCCTGCTGCTCCCCCGGTCTGCTGCCGCCGCCTGCCGCCGCCTGTGCCGCCACCGCCCTGCGCTGCGGCGCACCACACCGGGGTGGCACATTCGCCGCAGGCTTGCTCGCGGTCGCACCCACGTTCGGCTGCGGTGCGCAGGTGAGTCTTGCTGTGACTGTTACGCAGCCACGCATCGCGCGCAGCTCCCTCCAACGCACCAGCTCCGTAGGTGACGGCTTTTTCGACTGCTTCGAGAGATTATGACTGGGCCAATGTGCCATCAGCCAAGGCGATCCAGCATTCCTCCTCCTCGCGCCACCTGCCGCCTGCCGCCGCCAGCCTGGCCTCTGAGCTGGTCGCCACAGAATATAATAAGCAAAGATATGTCAAGAATGCCGATATACTGAAGCAGCGGGCTTGAAAACAGGAACCGAACCGATGCAGGACGGTGCGGCGCTGCCTGGCCCAGGCGTGCCGCCACGCTCCCATCACTCCAGCACCGTCAGGTTGAAGTTGGCAAAGTCGATGGCTGTGTCCACAGGCGTGCTCCAGCTGCCCCCGAAGAAGGTGACCAGCAGCACGGTGGTGAGGGCGGTGGCCCCATCCAGCCGCCACACCATCTTGTCGTACTCGCGGTACTGCCCGTTCACGCCCAGCCCCGCTACACCGTCGGCGCGCCCCGGCGTGTTGAGGCGCACCCGCAGCACCACCTCGTTCCACACCCCCTTCTGCACCTGCAGCGGGCCGGCAGGGCGGGGCAGGCGGGGAGAGGGGCGGCTGAAGCCCGGGCATGTCGCCGCGCCGGCGCGTACCATCCCGCCACCGCAACGCACATGCCTTAGTCAACCACCCCACAACCTCACACCCACTCACGCATCGGCACACACTGGTGAGCAGCCACCACCACAACGGCAATACACACACACGCACACACACACACACAACACACACACCATCACATCATCGCCACACCACACACACACCTACCTGGAAGGTGCCCGGAAACATGTGGTCGCCGCAGCCCTGCCCCAGGCGCGCCACCTCAGTGTACGCCGGGTCCTGCTGGGTGCCCTCCATCTGGTAGACGTACAGCATGAGGTAGCCGTCGGGGCCCCACACGAGGCGCGCCGAGGCAGCGGTGTCGCTGTGGCGGTAGCCCGCCGCCGCGCCGCGCCCCACCTGCAGCCCGCCGCCCAGCTTGCCGCCGCGCGTCCAGTCGAAGTTGGGTGCGGTGGCAAAGGAGAAGCGGAGGAGGGCGTCGCGGGCGGGGAGGCAGCGCGGCTCACCGCGCAGCAGCACGCCGCCGCGGAGGGGCGAGGAGGGAACGCTGCTGCCGGCGGGGTAGCGCACGTGTAGCACGTCGGGCGCCGCCAGGTGCACCAGGCTGAGGTCGGAAGAGTGCCTGGCGTACCAGGGAGGCTGGTTCTTCTGCACCGCGCTGGCCAGCGGCAGGGCGTAGGTCGCGCCGCCGGCGGGCGGCGCACAGGGCCGGCCGCAGGGGCCGCGCGGCGGCTTGGGACCGCCGCCCTTGGCCTGCTGCCGCGCCGCTTTGGCTGCCGCCTTGGCCGCTTCGCGCTCCTGCTGCCGCTGGAGCCGCTTGCGCTCCTGTTCGGGGGACAGGGCGGGGCACTGCTGCTGCTGCTGCTGCGGAGGGGGCTGCAGGGGCTGCACGCACTGCTGCAGTGGCGGGTCTCCAGGGGGCGGGTGGAGGTGGTGGCCGGCGCTGCCGCCGCTGCTCAGCTGCCTGCAGCAGGGGGCAGGGTGAATCCCCGTTCAAGGAGCTAAACGCGGCTGCACGAAAGCGGAGAGAGTCGCATGAGGCTCTTCTGCCGCATTGCCATGGCGAAATCCGCGAGATCTCCGACCCCGCGAGCCGTCTGACATCCTTGCCTCTCTATCCATCGCATCAAGCTCATGGCGGGGCGAACGGAGCGACACTTCTATTGCAACGCGGCGAGAACCCCCAAGCGCTGTGCAGCTCCTTGAAGGCCTGCCGCGCCAGTCCTTCACCAATGGATTCCAGGGCGCAATTCAGTGAAAGCGGCGATCGCTTCCTTCTTCTGCAACGCATGCGGCACGGGCGCCGGCGCCGCCAGCTGGGCGCGCGACGGGAAAAGCGGGCGCCCTGGCTGTGTGCGCACCAGGAGTCGAGGTTACATCACATCACAGCCAATTATGTGTCTGTCTCACAATAATAGGAAATTCATTTGAATGGATGGGCATGCCGGCGCCGCCGGGGCAGTGGCGGTGGGCTGGAGTTGAGCGGCAGTGTTCAGCGGGTATGTATGCGAGGCGGGATGCACAAAATGGCACAAAATGGTTCAGTGGATGGCATTCAAAAGGGGATTGGTTCAAAAAGAGTTGGTCAGGGGCTCATGTCTCGGTCAGCAGGAAGAGAAGCGATATCAAAAGGTTGATGGGAACAGGAAGGGGCAGCCCACAGGCGTGCCGCAAAAATGTGGAACCGCAGAGTTGCAGAGTCGTAGTGTACACACAGAGGCCGGCAAGAAACTCACGCGTCGGTCATGCCGCGGCCGCCGAGGGGCGCAGCCCCGCGGCGGCAGCCACAGCAGCCGGGTAGTGGTCCTGGAGTATCTCTGCGGTGGCATGGCGCCAGGACCAGCGCTCCATCTCCGCCCGCGCAGCCTGCGACATGCGCCGCCTGCAGCCAGGAGGGAAACAAGCCGGCGCTCGCTGTGAGAGCAAGCTTGGCGCAGGGAGGGAGGGAGCTGCCCTTCCACAGTGTGCTGCGACTTGCCACCAGCAGCACCGTGCCGTGCAGGCTTTCCCGTCACGACGGCACGCTGGCCGCACGCGCCTCGCAGCCCCCCACCTGGCGTCGGGGCTCGCCGCCAGCCGCCGGATGGCGGCCGCCGCGGCCTCGGCGTTGCCGGGCGGGAACAGGATGCCGGCCTCCCCCGGGCGCGCCACCACGCTGGGCACGCCGCCCGCCGCCGCCGCCACCACGGGCAGCCCTGAAGCCATCGCCTGGGCGAATCGGGGCAAGGCAGGGCAGCAGGTGGGCACAGCGTCAGTCGGCTGGCACCTGCAGTAGGCCGCTGCAGCAGGCGCCTGCCCGCTCCCCTGCTCCACAGTCTGCCCCGCGGCCCCGCGCAGCAGCGCCGTTCTCTCTTCTTCCTCCTCTTTCTTCTCACCTCGCCCACCACGTTGCCCAGCGTCTCGCTCTCGCTTGGGAACACAAAGAAGTCGGCTGAGGCGTAGGCAGCCGCCAGCTGGCGGCCACGCAGGAAGCCCAGGAAGGTGGTGCGGGTGCCCGCAAAGTGGCGCCGCATGTCCTGCACCGCCAGGGCGCCGATGCAAAACGTCTTCCAAAGTAGTGCTGGCATGGTCGCTCAGTAGGTGCAGCAGCGCCAGGCCCCGGCGCCTGCCGCAAGCTTGCCGCATGCGGGTGCAAACACACACGCACGCGCGGCTGCAGGCCCACCACATGCATGCGCCGCCTTCCCTGGCAACTGCCA